ATAGCCCTTAAATAGCCAGAGCTGTCAATCTAGGCCACTGGAGTGGACATGAATTTTGTGCCTGCTGAAATGTAGAGGCCTACTTGTACAGGTTCCACTCCAGTGGCCTAGATTGACAGCTCTGGCTATTTAAGGGCTATTGAGCGCCGGTACTGGTATCTTCGCCGGTGAACGATACAGTCTCCAGCCGAGGTACATTGTCTTTGACTTTGTATTTGAGGTGAGTAAGCTATCGCTCCCTCACTGTATCTAGTATACCTTGAGATTACCTTTTCTATAGTGTGCCACACACTGGAATTGGTAAGTACAGGGCACCGTAGTTTCCTTTTTAAGCTTACTAGAGCTTGCTGGACTGTTTTAGCCTTACGGTGGAAAAATAGTGTGCGACATACGCAATAGGCTGGAGTGGACATGAATTTTGTGCCTGCTGAAATGTAGAGGCCTACTTGTACAGGTTCCACTCCAGTGGCCTAGAAGATCTAGAAGGGCTATTGAGCGCCGGTACTGGTATCTTTGCCGGTGAACGATACAGTCTCCAGCCGAGATACATTGTCTCACTGTCTCACTGTCTCACTGTCTCTCTCTCTCATCTCTCTCATCTCTTTCTCATCTCTCTCATCTCTCTCTCCTCTCTCTCTCTCTCTCTCTCTCTCCTCTCTGTCTCTCGTCTTTCCGTCTCTCTTCTCTCTCTTCTCTCGCAGGGGGATCCGGGCAAAGAGCCACATATAAAGGACTCTTCACCCCTGCCTCCAAAAAGAGCGCCGTGTTTTTTCCTACCTCGCTGCCCTCCACTTTCCCATTCTGGAGCGCTAGCTTTCGCCCCCCCCCTTGGCCTCAAGTATGGATTTTAACATCTTTCCCTCCCCCCCGGTCCCGATCTTTCGCCTTCCCCAGCCTTCCCGCGCCGCCCCACCCGCCAACCGGAGCTCGACTCGCACCAGGTGCCTTTGCTGCGGGAGTGCATCGGCTCGAAGGAATGGGTCGCTGGCGGCGAGAGCGAAAGCGAGGGCTGGAACGGACGAACTCGGAACGGACGAAGGGCTGTTGGAGTGCCCAAGCAAACCGGTTTGGGGGCTGAGTTCGATGCCAATAAAAAATGATGGGCGCGACTGCGGTCTCGGGCAGGAATTCGAGCCGCAAAGCCATCAGCTCAGATGTCAAACGTCACAAAACCTGGAACATTCCATTCGACCATGCAGCATTCCGTGTCCGTCTTCCAAGGCGAGAAATCTCCCAGGTGCGGGTCGCCAGGGGAGGTGGGGCAAGGAGGTGGGCGTGAAGGGGGTCCGTTTTGTGAGAAGCGGGCCGCGGTGAGAACTGTGGAGGTAGACTTTTTAGATATAGAAGATGTATCAAAATAACCTTCCAAAAAGAACAGATATCGATTCATCAGGCTTGGTTGGGGGTGGTTTATTCATCAATCAAGACTAAGAGTCATACTATACAAAAAGTAACTGCTCCGCAGCCTGTTGTGAAGAGCTTTTTACAAGCGTCCTGAGGGTTCCTCCTGGCGCCTACAGTCTCCAATCACCTGAGAAGGTACTTGGATCCCTAATAGGGAGTACTATTATAGACTCTTATATAACTCTTATGTTCATCGAGTTTTCATCCGGCCCTACCAGAATTCGGTGACCCGTCGACCGGTCTTGTCGCCTCGCTTTTCGACAAACCGGTCAGGTCACGTCGCTGAGAGGACCGGCTCGGGTGACCGGTGGAGTCGACCTCCCGCACGGGACGAGCTCGTCCCGTGCTGGGATGGTGCTCAGATGGCCGCGGTGCTCGGCTGGCCGCGGATGCCGCCTGCAAGCGATGTACAGCGGAGGGGCCAATCGAACAGAGTGGAAAGAAGAGGAGGAGGGGCCGATCGAACCGCGTGGTTCGAAGCACACATTTACTTAAAGAAAAATAGGACACCATGTTCTAAAAGACGGAATCTGTTCGTGTTTTATCGAAGTTCCAGATGACAACGATATAATAAAAATAATATCTGTGCACTTGTGACGGGGTATTTCAAATCGTGGTCTTTTTTCTGCTCACCATTTGCCATGGAGAGTTTCCAATGGCTGGACATCTGGCAGCACAGCTGCTTCCCGAAGGGGCGACAAAAAGCGAGGAACCTGGAGTACGAATCTTCTGCTCTTGAATGGCCAAAAAGGGGAAGGAAGAAAGAAATGAAACCAGAAAGATCCTCAGAGTTTCAAAGACAAGGCATGAAGACGAACAGTGAAACAAGAGGAAGAAGAGGAAGAGACAATTTAACAAATAATCCATGACCAAGATGCTTTCCACCAGGTCTTTGAGGAGAAAACAGGTCGATAGGTTGACATGTGACGCTCCCCCCCCGCAGCACCGTTTGTGTCCTGCAGATTGGCTCCAGCACATCATAGACATCAATAGACCCTGATAGCTTGATGTAGGGAGGTTTCAGATGAGATGTTTGTTGGATGTTGGCCCTACTCAAGTCATTGATGAAGGCTGCCTTCATGGTCATTCAACCTCACATGGTGCGCGTTTGCGCGCACGAATCGATCTGGGCCCTATGTACCTCCACTAGCGACACACCACCGGGCTTCGGGAAGGGCTTGGTCACTGGCTCGGGAGGAAGATACGTGGGGCACATCCCATTTTCCTGAACAAGCGGTAAAAGAATACCTGAAATAAGCATGGAAGTGGAGTTCACCAGCTGTTTGTAGAGGAAAATCGCATCCACGCTCCACTTCCATGATTTCACCAGGTATAGCCTGTAGTCCCCTCAAAGAACTTATAGATGAGCCTGCTTTTTTCTCGTAGAGCGGAGGACAGTGAACTCAATCACCTTCGCAGAAATCCGATTTCGATCCACGTGATTGCCATCGTGATTGCCATCGGCATGGTCAATTCCCGCACTTGGGCAGCACTTCAGGGAGCGAATGACACACGCCTATACACTACCCACTCCATCCACGATCCTCCATCTATAGAAAAGAAGGTTCAAAGAACAAAGGACTCCTAACAAAGGACTGAAAGGGTGCGAAGGGAAAAAGAAGTTAGTGAAGTCTGCAGATTTGATAAGCATTTCTCACCTCACCTTCCCTGTAGAACTGGACATGTTCTTGACCATTCTTCACCCGGGCAATGCACGAGAGTCTGGGCGCGTGCAAGCCGCCGCCCAGGCAAACGCGGAAGCATTGTCCCGATCGAGTGGCGTGAGCATGAGGCGTGACCGGACGAAGAAGGCAAAAGATGATGAGGATGACATAGGGATCCATGATCAACCATTAACAATAAATTTCCCAATCAACAAGGCCTCCAAGCAAGAAAAATCAGCAATGGCCTCCAACCGAATGAGTGATGACCTCCAACCTAGTCAGCGATGGCCTCATGATGTGACATGAGTCCATGGATCCTTTGTTTCTCCAAGCTCTTTCCAAGGCACCCTTGAGGAATGGCATCGTTGGGGGCTCCTGGACAGACCCGACCACCTCGTTACGAACCACGGCTCTGTCTCCGCGCGGCGGCGGGCACCACCCGAGGCGCTCTGGGACTTCTCGGCAGCGCGCCACGGAACGCCGCGGCCACGGCCGGAGGCGGGTGGCGACTCGGACGGCCATGAGGCGAAAGAAGGACGTCCTGGCATAGCGCGGCAGGTTTGGGTGGAGAAATGGAGATCGATAAGTTATCTTAAGATGTAACAAGATAACAAGGAACCATGCGTTTGTGTTATGTACTTTTTGCTCGACCCTGCGGGCTGGGAGGCCCTTCAGACATTGCATTTGGAACAGTATTTGACTTCCATGCACTGCATTGAAGAACATTTGCACCAAGAGGGAGGGGGTACCATGTGTGACTGTGAGAAGAAGAAACAGTGGCAGATTCCAGCCAATGCGGATGCTGTAGTGATACCATTGATCAAATGTCAGAGGAACAACTTGCCTTCAGACCGATGGTCAGGAACCCTCCGCTGAAAAGGAGCTGCGAACTCAGATGAGTTGACAGGAAGGACTCACGGGCCGAAAGAGAAACCCAAAGGAATAGGTTACAGCTTCAACGTCGCCCTGAGAACCCCCCGGGCCCTGGAAAGGACAGGCTTTCGCCCAGGCCACTCGGAGAGTCCGATGGTGCCGAGTCGGGGTCCAGGTCTTTTTGGTATTTAGGGCTCAAGAAGAACAGTCTCTTCGTCTATCTTCGTCTTATAGGTCTGTGGTTTCAGAGGTTCGATGGCGCAGACCCCAAGATGTCCGTTCGACAGATGGGGGTTCATATAAACTATCGACATTGGGGTCTGTGCCATTGGTCCTCTCAATCCACTATAGGACCTGGGGAGGAGAAAAAAAAATGATCGCCGAACAGCGGCGGTCCTTCGAGGCAGCGGCGCGCTCAACTCATGCAGGAGCCGGAGGCTTAGCCACGCCAGTCTCGAGCAGGAAGTAGAGGCCGCACCAAAAGCGAGGCAAACGAGGTGGCCAAAAGAGATCCCATGTCTGCCGGTTTGCCCTCGGCCCTCGTTGGCAGTCTCGCACTACCGGTCACCAGCGTCCCTTGAACCTCAGGTTCCGCTCGCGCTATGCCGAGATCTGCCACCAGGTGCCGCCGCGACCGATCGCCTCGAGCTGCGCTGCACTCGAGCTGCGCTGGCACCGGAGGTCTTGGGGCTTGCAAAGCCGCCGGCGGATTCGATTGATCGCTGGCTTTTGGAGCAACTGGCCCAGAGAGGAGGTGGGAGCGTTGGATGAAAGCGTGCATGGTGAATCTTGACAATGCAGCTTGATATCTCGATCAATATCTCTCATATTGCTTTTGTGTTTGTGTGTGTGTTGTGTTGAAGATGGACCACAACCAAGATCATCCAAGCATCCGAAAGCCACGACCACACCCCATCACTTTGTCTCGTCTCCTCATGTCCGGTCCATGGGCTAATGGGTCAATTTGTTCCTTGTTCACCTACTGAAAAGACCGCGGTGATCCAGACTGCGGTCTGGTCTATTAGATCTCTGCATGGTTTCGAACCTGCCCTTGGGATGATTAGGCGTTGCGCGAGAACGCGCTGGATTCGCATAAGAATGAGAATCTTTGGGACGATTGAAGCCGACTTCAATTGTTCTTAAACATCCGCAAAAACCATGGTAAACTCCGTTCTTTTGTTCGGATTCCGAGATTCGCGATCCCGAAAGCCGCGAGACTCGACCGAAGGTGGGCGCGATCCGCTGGTGCCACGCCCACGGATCGCGGTGCCTTCGGCCAAAAGGGTCGAAAATCTGGGGGATGGATGCAGTTCTAGACTGGTCAATGTATATCAGTTTGGGTTTGTCCCAGTATCTATACCTGCAACAGTCGGTAAACAACTACATATATCACATTACGCTGGTTTCAGAGTAGATGGCACAGACCCCAATGTCGGTGGTGTATATGGACCTCCATTAGTCTAGGATATCTTGGGGTCTGTGCCATCGAACCTCTGAAACCACAGTACTATATAATACTCTTTTAGAGAAAGGCCTGCTACTGAAGCATCCACATCCACAGTTGCAGGGAATGGGATACTGTCCACTACGTATGAGTTCGGTTCGACCCCCCCGGTCTTCCGAAGCCCTGGAAGGTTCGGAAGATGGAACCACACGACATCGATCGATGTGTGTTTAACCGTGTGTTCAACCGTGTTTCCAGTGAGTTCTTCGTTGCTTTGTGATTTGACTGCATCCAGTGATGGTTTTGAAGTAAGGAGGGCTCCTCCTTCCCCTGCCAGCCTCAGGTCCAAAACTGCAATAATATTGTATGTCAGTGCACAAAAACGTGCGCATGATACTGATTCCTTTCGGTCTAGCTGCTGTCGATGGGTTTGTCTCGTCGACATGAGCCCAAGAACAAGAATCCCTTTGTGAAGACTCTTTGGTTCAACCACGAAGAAGGATTGGTCCCTTGTCGTTGTCGGTATTCGCATGTTTTTTTGCTTTCCAGGCGGCCTTTGCAATCAATAAACCTCAAGAAAAACTTGTGTTTGCTCGCCTGTTTGCACTGACTTTGCGGACATAAAGAAGGCAAAACCTTGGAGACAACAAGGTTTCGGGAACAAACCTTGAAAGAAGCATGCAGCATGCTTCTTGGACACCTGCGCAACCACTCAAAGGGAAAGAACACAGTTCATTTCTCCGACATGTGCGGTTAAGAAACGCACACAATGCTTTTGGGTGTTGGCTATTTCATGCTATTTCCCATTTTTCTCGGGGCAGATGTGCAATCATAGCCTTGCCTCCGAGGAATCGTCTCGGGTTCTTGAACGGGAGCTGTTGGCAGAGGCGCAAGAAAGATGGAGCTGCAGCTGGCGGTCCGGGTGTTTTCAAAGCTCTAGAGCGCCATAGTCTCAGAAGGTTTTACTTGTTGCAGGCCTTGTGCAGGTTTGGACTCTTTTGATTGCCCCAAATTCGGGTTCAACAAGGCTTTTATGAAAGAAGGTCTTGACGCAACGTTTTGTTCAAACGCTCCATGTGTGTGTGTGTGTCAACGAACTTTAGTATAGACATGTATATAGGCCTGGTGTGGACAGCTTTCTGCTGCACCTTCTATAAATTTTCATGCTTGCAAGACAAACTTAGTGCTTTCAAGCCCTGCGGCACCAACCACCATGTTCGACCAAGTGTCATTCCTTTCCTTGCTACTATTTCGATCACCTTCGTCAAACTCGTTTTGGTTTTCCAAAGGGCTGTTGCTTGGTCAAGCCCTGCCCCAACCACCCCCAGGCGACGGAGGAACCGAACCCAACCGAACGATGCAGCCCGTCGCAGGTGCCCATGCGATGCCATTCTCGGGTGACCGGAAGGCGGAGAGAGAGCGGGCGGGCCATTGGGAGTGAGAGGAAGGACCCGTTCCTCAGAGCTTGGCCCATTCCCATGGGAGTTTATGGGACCACCTGGTATTCGAGTCTCGTAGCTTCTTGTGACGCCACTAGTGATTGCTCCTAGTAAGGTGCCTCGTTACTAGTGGCTTCTTCTTACTGGTCAGCCATATTATATTGATTAGTTAGGGTTGGTTGACTTGGGGTCAGGAAAATCTGGCTGTGGCATACATGGTGACTGGGTTCGGAGGTGAGCGGGCCTCGCTGCAACGAGTGGTTGTTGACCTGTGACTTGACTTGTTGGGGCTTGATCTTCAACTCGTTTGAAGAGAATTCTGCAAGAAAAATGGAGGGAAGCACGATCTGATCCAAATGTCTATGGACAATTGCTGATCATCCAAGGGGGTTCAGTTCAGAAGAAGAAAAGACAGGAAAGGCTCTTTCGGATATGGAAGCTGCTCTTGACGTGTTTCTTTTTCTGTGACGAAGCTCGCTGGAAGGCTGGCCTCGGAGCAACTGGCCAGGTTCGGACCTCGCCCTGTGAGTTTCACTCGTCCAAGCATCGGCCACTCCGTACAGAGCGTTTGGACAGCTTGATTTCACCCAGGTATGTGAAGAGTGCCAGGGATTGGCTCCAGCGGCTACAGGAGCACCCGACTTGCTAGTTTTTTCATATGTCACTGAGATGTCCCTTCCATGACCGTCGCATGGAAGGGACTTCATTCAAACAAATTAAGCTTTCTTCGGCCACCCCCCGTGCCCGAGTTGGGTGACGTGAAAATGTCAAGCCTGTCAAGCTTAACTCCAGTTCAGCATCGGGAAGTCCATACAGATTGCTGCCTTGAGATGTGGCGCATCTTCGCGCGCATGTGGGTGTGTGTGGTTGGCGAACTGAGACTAACCCATATTTCATCATGAATGCCCACCAGTGGGCAACGTGAATTCCAATCTTTGGCTCATGCGAATGAAGTTCGGGGGTCAGGGGGTCTCTCGCAAAAAAAAAGCACGAAGATGGCATGATCAAGCTGCAGTCGAGCCTCCATTCCCTGTGTCAACACTCAGTTCTGGATGGTGGTTATAGTCAGTCCTTCGTTCTGGAGAATGGAGGTCCAATGTTTTGGTGTCGTCCTTGGCGACAGCAAGGCATGTTGGCGGCTCACAGGTGACAAGAGTGTGTGTGAGCAGCAGAGTGGAGCAGCTTCACGGAGCGAAGATCACGTGTTTCACGGTTTCGCAGTTCTTACTGTAGATGGTTTAGCGGAGCTCTTCATCTCTCCATGCGATTACTGAGGGTATAGTTACTGGGGGTAGTATCTTACGTTCACCCTGTGCGCCCCCTGAGAGAGAGAGAGAGAGATAGGGAGGGACGCAGGTTGATGGACAATTCTTCGCAGTTCTTCATGGTTGAACTCTTAGAGATCTTGGAGCATCTTGGAACCATGGTCCTAACCACGGACTTCCTTCCAAACCGACGAAGCTCTTCCTTTAGACCAACAGCTGACTCAAGTAGACCTACTTTCGGAACCTGAATGACTCCTCGCAGACGCCATGGCGGAGACCTTGCGGAAGCCGCTGAGGTGGCGCTAAACACATGGGAAACATCGATGATATCATGGTAAGGAGTGGAAATAGATCCAGAAGTGTCGCTTTCAGGGTGCAGAAGCAAAGATGCCATACTTCCTAAGACCTTTCGACTTCGGTCACAGACTGTATTATGAGGCTTACGCCTGACAGCCGGGCGCCGGCCTATTTGGGTTTGGGTATGTGCAGGGCTGGGTCCTCTGTCTCTCTCTCTCTCTCTCTGTCTCTCTCTTTCTTTCTCTCTTTGAGACTTGGTGGGGCCTATATTGAGCAAAGTTAAGCTATCTGGTGCGCATCTTGGCCCTAGGTTGGGCCAAGTTGAGCCCATGTGGTCTATGTTAGGTACATCTTGGGCCCAAGTTGAGCCTATGTTGGGCCTAGGTCGGCCTATGTTAGGCCTATGTTGGCCTAGGTTGGGCCTATGTTGGGCCTATGTTGGCGTATGTTGGCCCCATGTTGGCATATGTTGGCCCTATGTTGAGCCATCTTGGAGGCTATGTTGGGCATATGTTGGCTATCTTGGGCCTATGTTGAGGAAATGTGAGGCAACTTCTGTGCCCAACACACACGAAATGTCGATTAAGCCTGTCCGCGCGGCGCGCATAACCGACACCACCGGTGCCCTGTTAGGCGCAAGTCATGTCCGCCGAAGGCCACGAAACACTGTAAAACACGATGTTTTTGAACATTTTTTGAACATCCTCCGCAAGATACATATAAATCTGTCGACCGGATTCGGGCGGGGGTCGACACGGGGTCGACACGGGGTATAACGGAGGTCCAACAAAAGGGTCGGCGGCAGGGGCGGCGAGCGTATATAACCTTCGGTTACCACCGAAGGCCTCCGGCAAGGACACGGGCCCGTGGCCGGCGCCCGGATTTACCAGGCTACCGTCTGCAGCCGCCGACCCCCAAGGGATAGAACCTTAGCGCTAGCCTTGCTCTATGTTAGCCTTAGCCTTAAGCCTTAGCCTTAGCCTTAAGAGTGCAGACCCAACCCAGCACCACCAAAGCAGGTACCCAAAAAGTCGACTTTTTGGGTACCTCCC